GTTGCCTCTTTGCGAGTCTCAGTCTACAAACTTGTAGAAAAATGGTGTAAATCAGGGTGTCCGTTGAAGATTAACGTCGCAAACCTTTCATTGAAAGATAAGGTAATGACATAAACTCACTTTTTCCCTGCTCCATGAACGAAGAATATAAAAATAAAAAATAACGCGACCGTAAACCTACCATTTTTTAAAATGAACAAATGAACGGTCGTAATGGATCATGTTTTATATTTGGTCGATTAATTATACTCATATTCTTATGAATTCTCATATTGTTCAATTCATCGAAGAGGACTACGTACAAATTAGTCACAGATATTTAAGACTTTTACCGGTAAGACTATTAGCTCATGAAAATCACCAACGCATGAATCCGTCGCATATAAAACGAGTAATGGACTGGCTTTATTTTAGTTCCATTTATAAATGCTATAGTAATTTAGTCTTTGTCCGAAATGGCCCGTTCGTGATGTGTCTTAATATAATTCATTATTTATTTTCGATATGTATTCTATGTAAATTTACTCGAGTGGAAAAGCGTGTCGGACGTGTAAAACGAAGGTTATATCTTTTTATTATGTTAATTTTTATATATTCTAATAATTCATAATAATTAATAATGATAAGATAAATTATAATAATAATTCGATTCATTATTCTTTTTAGTTTACATAACTAATAAAAACTATGAAATTCCATAAAGGTAGAGGGTTATGAAAAACCAATTGACAATGTTAATTCAGTGTTAAGACTTTTCGTCCTGAAGTCCTCGTAGACTCGTAGAGTGTGGCGACGACAATAGTACGGTCTGCATAGTGAAAAATTCAAACATGATTACACTGCGAAACGACGATTTCCACTAGAAGTTCCCCCAAGGCCAAATGTATCAATCTTCATACCTATTCTGCGAAACAGGACCGGGACGCCTAATCCACGTACCACTTTTCTCTCGACTTAAGTAAATCCATACTTACTAGAGAGTGCACGCAAAAAAAAAGTCAGATACCAACAGCGTGACGGTTTTGCTAAGAACCGTAACAAGGCGGCACGCTAGTGTACGTGTCCGAGAAATAAGTTTCTGTAGTGGCGTGTACGTCCGGAGGTCCGCCTGGAACCTGTCTACCCTCTTCCCCCTACGAAGGAGGTCCGGGGGGCCGGACTGCTGTCGCTAGACCGAGGCACATGCCCTCCGAGCACCCTTCAGACCCTCGACGGTGAGCATGCGACGGTCTCAGTGACTACGATATCACTCGCTGGGACTTCTCTCCCCTCTGTTGCCTGTCAAGTCTACCTTACAAGAAATAAGGAGGGTCTCAAATGTGCAATGTCGTTTCCCTGTCCCTTGTCCTTTATTGTTCCTAACCTTTCATCATTATAATTATCTCGCTTTTGATGTATGTTCATATTTCTTTTATGCCAAGAAAAAGACGATTTTTTCCTCATGCTAAAACTAAGGAAGCAAATATACGCAAAAAAGGCGGAGAGTTTATGTGTGTAAGGATAAAAAGAAACAAATTTTAGTATAAAGATTGAGTTTCTATAGAATTAAAACCCGCACTGTAATATTTTCTGTGGGTGGAACCTAATACTCCTTCGACGAACCTTACCAAAATGTTAAAAAACTTGTAAAACGATTTGGTTTACAAAATAATAGGAAATGCTTGACAATGTTCCACACGATACAAACACATTGAACGACGTGGACTGAATTTTATGGTGGTGGATACGGACGTTACGTGCGACGTTCTACGACGTGATCACCCCCCATATATCTACGGCGAAGGTATTGATAAACTGGCTTATATACGGACCCGCGGATTTAGTATTCTTGACCGAATGTCCTGACACATAAAAAAAGAACGTTCAATACGATTTAGAAAATCATTATATACATATGAAAAAACATAATATAGTATTGAAATCATGAAAACAAAAACAAATCTACTGAGTCACAAGTGCTATAAACTGTCACTAAATGACATGAGATTCGACGAGACACCCGTATCGACACAACACACACACACACACATTATGAGAGCCATCGGCTTTTACAATATTAACTCCTTTGTAAGCAGGTTTATATATTTGTAAGAAGATTGTAAATTGACTCCATTATATAGAGTGGTTTTCCGTTACATTTACATTTAAACATTCACACACATTCATACAGTCACCCACACACACTTTTGGCCGTCAGGAGCAATTTGAGTTTAAAGGTGGCCTATAATGCTTATTTTCAGGTTCATATTAGTTTTCTGTGTCTCTACTGTGACGCGTTTCATCCTTTAAGGTTCAGAAAGTGCTTTATTTGTATGATTGGTCGACTGTTTAGAGATGTCCAGCCCCTTAGCCTATCACTACAAAGTGTGCAGGGCCTGCGAATCAAACCAGCAACTTTCAGATTGGTAGACGACGACCACTAAGCCTCACAGCCACAAATATAAACAAATATATACAGAAATTAAAGAAGCATTACCCACCTCAGATGTGCTCTTCATTAAACTTGAAGGAGCTAAAGTTACCTCAATGTATGGTTTGCCTTTCATACATTTTAAGAATTTGAAACTAACACAAAAACACAGGACTATAGATTGAATTCTCTTTACCCCCCCCTACATTCTCAGATTTAAAGTGGCCTGAACTCCTTTCTTTCAATAAATAACTTACAGCAGCTAAATGTAATATTTAATTATTAATCCCTCTCCAGTATTTACACTCGATTAACCCAGCCAATGATCAGTTCTGGTCCTCACCTTTATAATGCACAACTGACCATGGAGCCACTGTGCAGTGATTGGTCCAAAAGTGTCATGTGACTTCAGTGAAGCTCCTCCCTCCTTACACTTCCAGTAAATCTGTCTGTTGGTGGGTGAGTCACCCTGAGCACAGCTCCCCCTTTAATCATCCCTGGGGCTAAACTCTCCCTCCCTCCCTGCCTCCCGTCTTCTCTGTTTTCACCGGCCTATAATTTGAATGACAGACAGTTTGTGTCAGGAGCCGGGCTCACATGACTGCATAGATCAGATGCTGAGATCAGATGCTGAGTCAGCAGCAGCAACAGGCAAATTGAGAAAACGTGAACAATGTCTCCATGAGCTGCTCTTAATTCACTGGTTCTCACGTAAGGCTAAAGAAGCCAAAATGCCTTCAATCATGGGAATATTTGTATCTTCTATTGAGCAAAAAAGTACAATAAAAAATCACACATTTTCAGATATTATATTGGATCTACAGACATTGAGTATTCGTAATTAAAACAGAACTTGAATAACAACGCCACAATAAGAAATGCTTAAAACAGAAATAAAAAAAACATGAAAATGTGAATGATGAGTAAGCAGGAATTAAATAATCATAACAAAGTTAGGCTACATATAACAAGGGGTTAGCTGGGAGAGAAAAATATATAGAGCCGAAGTCCCTCCCTTTCCGGTGGAACTCCATGGGACCTTATTTCGGAAAAATTATGTATTGAAGTCAATGGCGAGAGAAAAGGTATCTTTCGATCCCGTTTGAATTGTGCCACGAATTACACATATGATGTTTGTCAACCTTAAAAAATAATTTCCAAGTCAAAGAAGTCACAGTTTGTCGTAAAACTGTGAAGTAACACTTATTTGTGTGTGAAACCGCTCAATGAACTACATCTCTGGTCTCGCACAACACACGTCACCAACACCAGAAGAGGTGAAAAGTATTAAATGAGGTGGAAGTCATTACACGTCTGGGCATGTTGAGAGCTGCTATTACACAAAAGGAGAGTTAGTCGGTTCCGTAAGAGCCAGCATGCGGGACCGGCTGTAAGGTTTCTGTGAGTGTTAAAACGAGTGTAATGTTAATGTCAGCTAGCTAACAAGCTACACTCCCGTGTCACTAGTTTTCTGTGTACCTTGTCCTTGCCAACACTAATGTTATCCACAGCGATCACGCAGTTCTTAACGAGAAAACTAGTTGCTCAAACAAAACACAGGAGTGTACCTTGTTAGCTAATGTTAGCTAGCTGACATTAACGTTACACATTACCCTCGTTTCAAACTCACCTCGGCTCTTACGGAACCGACTAACTCCCCTTTTGTGTATGTACAGCTATCAACATGCCCAGACTTGTAGTGATTTTTACCTCGTTTAATACTTTTCGCCTCATTCTGAAAGAAAGAAGTGAAATGTGCCAACGTGACGGCCAGCTTAGTGTTGGTGACGTGTGTTGTGCGGGACCAGAGATGTAGTTCATTGAGCGGTTTCACACAAAAAAAATGTTACTTCACAGTTCTACGACTATTTCTTTTTTTTTTTACTTGCAAAATCATCTTTTAAATTGACAAACATCATATGTAATTCGTGGCACAATTCAAGCGGGATCGAAAGATAACCTTTCTCTCGCCATTGACTTCAATACATCATTTTTCTGAAATAAGGTCCCATGGAGGTCCCCGGAAAGGGAGGGACTTCGCCTCTCTATAAATATAAATCAGGGAATAAAAACAAAAAAAATAACAAAGAGCTATGAGAAACAACATGAGATTTTGAGAATTAAAAACTAAGAAACTATTTGAAAATAATCAAAACTATTGTAAGAAAGACATAAAATAAATGTATCACTTGTAAACTTTAATGCTGTGTCCGATGCTGTGAAATTGGCGTGACTTAAAGAAATAAGACTGCTTTGAAGATTTAAACAATTAAGCATGTAATTGTGGAGACTAAACTGAAATGTATTGCTTCCAAAAATGTCCGTTGATGGGGTGCCAGATTTTGAAACTGCTTTTTAATCTCCCTCCTATATCGGCTCTGATCTCCACCGTGTAACCACAGACATCCCCCACCCCCCCCCACCCCCAGGGAGATAGCATCAAAAGATCCCCACAAAGCTCACCAAACCCAAATAAATAAATCTTATTGTGTTTTAAGTGCTAAAAAATAGCCGGTTAAAAGAATACAAATATATGTTTACAATGTAATGTGATTTTAAAATGTTTTTCTTTTGTTACATTTCTTTGCAGGGTTTGGTCACAAGAGCAAAACTGGGAGTTCAGCATATGGTGCAGAAAGTTGGATTTTTCGGGATCTTGGCTTGCGCCTCTGTAAGTGACATTTTCATTAGTAATATAATGTCCCTGCAATTTCTACTAAATGCATCATCAAAGTTTCATTTCACAAATGACAAACATGTGTTGCTGTTGATGCAAAAAGGAATGAATTGCCTGTAATAGAGCATACCTGCCAACCCTACCGATTTGGGCGGTAGTCTACCGCTTTTGACATGTTTCTACCGCCTACCGACTTAGCTGGCTTTCCCTACCGAATTTCAATCTTCCCAAGCTATGACAAATAAAAATGACACTACATAGACACTGGACTCGACTTTTGATGGACACCGTTTGCAACGTGTCTGTGATCCCATTATACTAACAGTCCTCTGTGTTTCTGAAAGAGAAACCACGTGCAGAGGAAGGGCATCGTTACCCCCGGGGCTGATGGGTAATAACTCCCAAATGACTTAGGGGAACAGAAACGAGGCATTTGAGTCCTGCAGGGTTTCCCCGTTAATATCAGTGTCTCAAACACATGTTGGCGACTGAAAGACATCCAGTGTTTGGTCTTTTCCTGAAGCATCCTGCAGTGTCTCAACTGAAAGAGGACCACAAACACACACAAAATATAATGACATTTTGGGATATTTATCTCCCATTCTTTCACTTTTTCTGACATGCCGTTAATGTCTCTGTTTAGTGAACTACAGCAATCTGAAAGCCTGTACATTATTTATATCACACCTTATCAGTATAAAAATGCAGGAAATGAGTTTTTTAATGCAGTATTTTCTGATTTATGGCGCAACACAAAGATATTTCGCTCTGTGCAAACCTTTGACTCTAATATGTCAACAACATGAAACAAGAATATGAACCTGGCTTTATCCAATGTTCACACAAGAGTTCTACATCCTGACACATCCTTCATCTACACCGTCTCAACTGAAAGAGGACCAGAAACACATAAAAAATATAATAAAATGTGGAGACTTTGGGATATTTATCTCCCATTCTTTTACTTTTCATTTTACAGACCAGACATGTCGTTGATGTCACTGTTTACCAAACTACCACTTTTTCTGAAAAATGCATAAAATGACATGTAATTACTGGGGTTCCATTTCTTCTGATTACCTAATTTGGGCGTGCACAGCCGCGCGCAAACCTACCTCTTTTGAATTTGGAAAGGTCGGCATGTATGATAGTGTTGCAGAAATTAGTCCATAAACCGGGAAATTAGTTAGCATTTTTCAACTCCGGTTCACTTGTCTGGAAATCAACAGTTTTTTGTTATGTGTTTTTGGTTGTTAGCCTTAAATAAGGTCTGTGGTTAACACAAGCTGAAGAGATTTTAACATTCTGTTCTACAACATAAAATACATCAGTAAATATCCCACTGTTGAATTTAAAAACGGCGGTTGCTAACAAGTCTCTCATTCAAACGACTAAACGTCATCACGCCCAACATTAGCCACTTTTAGCTTAGCGATTGTGACATGAAGTCATGTTACGGTGCTGTAGTTCCTTTATAGCCTAATGTTAGCTGTTTTCTTCAAACATCTTTCAGTGGTGTCAATGTCTGAGATGATTCTGCTGAACAAAGCTTGTAAGTGTCATGATCGTTTGTTTGCCACAGATCTTATTTTCAGCAATAATCCAAAATCACATGGAGAAATCCCATTGCTTTCTGTGGAGCCCTGTTGTTGCTCACGACCAGACCAGCCTACACAAATACATCATTACTGCACCACTCTATAAGGGTCATTTAGACCCCATTTACACAGGAACGTTTGCGTTTGCGCACCATATGCGTTTTCAAAAAAGTCTTCCGTTCTCACGCATTCGATTTATTCAACGTGTCCGTTCACAAGAGACCGCTGGAAACGCTGTAGTATATATGCCAGGCCTGTAAGTGGCACTGCTGCCGCCACAAAATACACCAAAAGCAGCGAAGAAGACCCCGGAGCATGGTTGCCCTTCTGTTTATATTTCATCGTTATCAGAAATTGATCGTATAGAGGCGTACAGACGGATCCGTTTGACCCCCCAGAGCGTTTAGTTTGCAAATCTATCCACCTTGGGACCCGTTATCGTTTGCGGGGTCCGTTTCTATCGTTTTGTTACGGCCTCGTTTAAAACGAAAGGGCTATCCGCAAGAGAAACTATGCGGATACAACCCGTTTCGTCCTCGTGTAAACGGGGTCTTATAAGACTGTTGCTCAGTTATACTATCCAATGTGTGTGTTTCAGATCCCCAATCCTCTGTTTGACCTTGCTGGAATTACTTGCGGTCATTTCATGGTTCCCTTCTGGACCTTCTTTGGAGCTACTCTGATTGGGAAAGCTGTCATCAAGATGCATATACAGGTCAGTATCTCAACAGAAGTTTGTGAAGGCACCAGCTCACCTAAAATAAAACCAAGATGGCAAACAGCATCTTGGCTTCAGATATGACTCATATTTTGTTTCATGCCATCAGTCCACATTGTAATAATGCTCGTACAAAAACTCCACTGGTAAGAAAGGAAAGGGTATGCACTGCTGAGTGATTCACCAGCTCAAAACGTGTGGGAGAACAAAGATCAGACCTCGAGCTGAGATCATGGTTCTGTCTGTGAGAAACTCCTGATTGATACTTCTGGTTTGCTCTTTGTGACTCTGCTCCTCTGGGGATTCCTCTCTCTGGTTAAAGCTTTGGGATGCTTCCAGACCATATACACAGATGAAAAGAGGGAAGCTTTTAAGAGGCTTGAACAAGACTTTGAAAAATCGGCAATTACCGAGCACATTGTTGAGTCTGCCACACCAGTGACTAATATAAGCTCAGAGGTGGAAGGAGTACTCGGTACCAATCAATCCTCAAATGAAATGCAGAGTTAAATCCCAGGTCAAATGTACGTTAAAAAGTCTTGAACATACTGTCTTCAATTATAGTAATTTTATGTTAAATGTTGTTTTTTAAATGTAAGGGATAATGCAAAGCAAGGCAGTCAGGTGTCTGTGTTCCCTTTAGTGTTTCCTTCATGTCTGTCTTCTTCTGCTGTTCCCTTTAGTGTTTCCTTCATGTCTGTCTTCTTCTGCTGTTCCCTTTAGTGTTTCCTTCCTGTCTGTCTTCTGCTGTTCCCTTTAGTGTTTCCTTCCTGTCTGTCTGTCTTCTTCTGCTGTTCCCTTTAGTGTTTCCTTCCTGTCTGTCTTCTTCTGCTGTTCCCTTTAGTGTTTCCTGTCTTCTTCTGCTGTTCCCTTTAGTGTTTCCTTCCTGTCCGTCTTCTTCTGCTGTTCCCGTTAGTGTTTCTTTCCTGTCTGTCTGTCTTCTTCTGCTGTTCCCTTTAGTGTTTCTTTCCTGTCTGTCTGTCTTCTTCTGCTGTTCCCTTTAGTGTTTCCTTCCTGTCTGTCTTCTTCTGCTGTTCCCTTTAGTGTTTCTTTCCTGTCTGTCTGTCTTCTTCTGCTGTTCCCTTTAGTGTTTCTTTCCTGTCTGTCTGTCTTCTTCTGCTGTTCCCTTTAGTGTTTCCTTC